CTAAACAACATATCATACATAATGAGTATGTAAGTTTACAGCCCATCTGCGTATCAAATTCCACGTGCCTAGCTTAGTTATCACCGTAACGCCGAAAGCTAAATATAAATTTATTCAGCCGCCATTGTTTCGCTTCAAATTCACAGACATTACCCGAACATATTACCTTAATAGAAGTTGCATACTTCTCGGAGATCTGTTACCATACGTAATTTCAGGATCTTAAATCAGTTGATGATGGTGATTGTGTCGTACCTGACATCCGTACATCCGCCAAGTTGTTAATACCGAGTGTGAAAAAATAAAAAAGTACCACATTGATATCGCCTCTAATGGCGTAATAGCCATACCATGTTCTGCGAGAACAGTCAAATCGATCAAAAATTCAAATGGAACACACACAAAGAGAATGGTCGTCTTATAAACTGACTCTTGTTCAAGGACGGAAAACAGAATACAAATGTACCTTATTTTAATATGAAGAATGATTTAGGCATGAATGTTATTACAATTTTAAACTTGCATATGATCATTGTCGTCATACATATCTCTGTACAAAAACCGAAGCTATAATATTTGAGAGTATGAATGCGCACAGGTTTCTTGTAGGTAGTAATAATTCTGTCGACAGGTGGAACTGCCAGTAATAGTCTCTCTGTCGCCAACAGTCGTCGTTTTCATGAAAAAATACTCATTGATGAGGACTTTTCGGAACACGTGTATATATTTATATTAATATATATTTCAGTATCCAGTTTTGTCCTTGAATTGTGAGTAGGCTATACAAAATATAACCCCTACTACGTACGTATAAAATAATATTATACAGGCTTGGACTTCTAATTAGATGAATCTTATTTTATGGGGAAATTCAGGTACAAATTTACAGATTTATATCTGCTTGGTTGCCATTCATATTAATGTAAACTGCCATTGCTGAGTGCGTTGCATATTCCACCTAAAGGATAATTGGATATACTCCATATTAGACAGTGGGCACGCGGTAGCGTAGTTGGTTGAAGCATTATGCTACAAGTCGGAAGGTCGCGGTTTCGAGTTCTGATGAAGTGGATTTTTTTCAATGGACATAATCCTTCCAGCCGCCCTGTGGCACTTGGGATCGACACAGACTCTAACAGAAATTAGTCCCAGGAATCTTCCTGGAGAGTAAAGAGCGCCCGGCGAATAAGGCTGACAACCTCACCACCATCTGTTAGCTGAGTGCCTAGAAAATGTGGGAGCATCAATATATCACAACCCTATGGGCTTCCACGGCCTGTTACAGGGGTAGTTTTACCTTTACCTTACCACAGAAAACACTAAGCTAACACATTCAGGTAAGTGTTATGACCACTTGTTATGAACGAAAGTTAATAGTACGGAATATTACATTAGGATGCATTTCCTGCATTTTGAACACAGCCAGGTCCGTGTTTCTTATTCAGCGTGTCATTTCATTAGTAAGTTGTCTTGTCTACGAGAATTGGATAAAGCGGGTAACTTAAAATAATATCCTATGATAGTCTGATATCTTGATTGTCATCAGATGGAAGAAACATGAATGTAGATTGTTTTAAACTAAGAAGCAGATGGAATGTTTTGTGTGTATAGAAAACAAAGGAGTAGTTCTGAAAGACACCCTGACTCTTCTATTTCCAGCTTGAAGCTAGTGAAATTTATACTAACCAAATCTAAGTGTCCATTCTTGGTAGATTGTCTATAAATATAGACTTGCAATACCTGGTAAGACTACAAACATTGGAGCTACAGCTGAGCAAATATTTGTGAAAAAGAAAAGAGAACCTCAACATTTTAAAATATGTACATACTTGTAATAGGAAAATTGTTCCACAGTACATAGCCAGGTAATTATACATTTTTTGTCCAAATTACAGATTATAATATATATATGCAATACACTGTTACTTAACATCATAATTTTGTTCTTCCAGTCCATTAAGGTAAACTTTACACAGTTTGTAGGATTGGAAAGAAGATTTCCTCTCAAATGCCAGGAAACAGGTAAGAGAACTAAGAAATGCTGGGTTTTTGGACTTGTCCTTCATCCGAAATTCTAAAAAAAAACTACAGAAGACAGCGTTTCGGAAATTGGGTTTGTTTCCGTCCTCAGATCAAGGGGAAGACAACTTACTCTTAGAAAGGGACCCAACAGAGTAGATGCCTCCCTCCTCACCTGAGAATGGAAACAGAAGTAGTTTCGGAAATGTTGTGTTCTCTATTTTTGAGAATACCGAATAATAGGTGCAGTCCAAAAATCCAATAATTCGCTTGTTATACACCACCGTCAGAACATCTTAGAATCTACATTGCAGAACACCATATTATTCGAAACTTATAAGTACTAAAGCACAATATAAGCCGGTCACGGTAGACGAGCGGTCTGAGGCATGCACTGTCTTCGCTCGCTTGGAAGCCGGGATCGTGGGTTCGAATCCCACTCAGGGCATGGATGTTTGTGTGCGTTTTTCTGTGTTTGTATACAGATAGAGGCCTTGCGACGAGCTGATCACTCGCCCAAGGAGTCCTACCGAATGTCTAAGATCTAGTAAACCGAAGTGAAACGGAGAGTTTCATGGAGGTAGGCCTAAGCCCAAATTGGGGCTGTAGCGCCACAGAAAAAAAAGCACAACATAATTTTTTGTATTTTTCGCCAGTTTCTCAGTCGAATAATTTCCCTTCTGAAGAGTAAGTTTACTTCATTTTTCACGATGGATTCTCAAAACCAGGGATCTTTGCGTTAAAGACTTAATGTAGGTTAAGACATAAAGAATTAATGAAGTCACTCATTAATTAAGCTCAGCTGGTCAACTCTCTAACTATTGGGGAAAAAGTACCCCTGTTCCAAATTGATCTACTATGACGATCCAAGAGCCTGTCTCGACTTTTCGAAGGAGAGAACACTTTTTTTTTTCTCTCTAGTAACCGAACCCCAATTTCCCAGTCTTGCAGCCCGTATCTAGTCACTGCAACGACTGAGCTATCCCGGCTCCTTCGGTAAGACTGCGGTTTTATGTACTTTTAAAATCGTTTCTTAAGAGCGGAAATTAGATTCTCCTTGACATCAAACGCCTAATTAAACCCGACTTTGTGGTTCTTCATCGAAGCTGTAGTAATACGGGGCACACCTCAGGTGTAGATATTTCAAATGTAGGATTTCAGATTTTCACACTGGACGTTATGAATTTTTCTATCTTCTGGGATACAATGCCGCGTAGTCCGCTGAAAGTCAGGAGATGTTTAAGTGAAGCATTTCACAGCAAAGCTTGCTGCCTGCTTCGTTCTGGTTCCTTCTTTTTCTTATTCTTCAACCCCGAAAATGGAGGTGAAATGTTCCTCCGAAAAGTCGGCTGACTTTCAATGGATCACACAAAGTTATATCCCAGAAGGCTGAGCTCTTCAAATGTTTCAGAGTTTTGATAAGTGTTTGTTACGTACGAGGGAAATTATATCTCTTATCCCTTTATTACTTTCACGATCTTCGTGGTACTGACGTTTTTGTCAGCCATTTGGCTAGGGTCATAAGTAAGGTAAGGTTAGATCACATATTGTACTCTTCATCAGCTCTGCGTCAACTGCAAAACTATTTAGCTTCAAAGGGCGTGACAAGATTATGGATTCTTCTTTGAGATCTTGAATATTTCGTGTTTGTTTTTATATATGAAACTCTTTTAACGTCAAATTTTAAATGTTATTTTGTTTAAAGTAATGCATATCCAGTCTCAAATATCTTCCTGAAAAAGTAGAGTATGATAAACAACTGATTACTGGATTGCTATACTTTTTGTGTAGGGTGTTGGTTATTCTTAATTTATATGAGTCTCCCGGTGATAGTCTTTCAGTAACATCCTGTAGGTCATGTTGTACATCAATCGCTAATACATTTCTAATCTTGATGGATAACTACAATCGTTATAAAATGAACACGAAGGGGAACAGAAAATGTAAAAATTTAGATTCAAAAGAATAAAAGTTTTATATATTTTATTATTATTATTATTATTTGACTGCAATTTGGTATTAACCCGGTGGCAGTAGAACTTACACTGATACAGACAAGGACAGTCTATAACATAAGGAAACAATACAAAACAAAATTTTATACTCAAATCGTATTAAATGTAAAATCTTACTTGTGCTTATTAAGACGTAGAAGAAGTGAATGTATAGTTTCATTATTCTTTACCTCAGTACTAGATGGGAATGGTAAGTTTCACGCATTGGTTACTTTACACCTCGAGAAAAAGCCCTCGGTACAATTACTAGTACATAGGAGGCTGTGTGGGCCCCAGGGAAAGTCTATACGCTGTGTAGAAGAGAAAAATCACTTTCCTCTCCTGGGAATCGAACCACGGCTACCATGTTCACAGCCAGTTGCTTTACGGACTGATCTATAATATTTAAATTGAATGCAAGGTCCCTGTCCTTGCTAAATCAAATCCTTCCCTCAATATATTCCCTCCTTCGTTTCACATTTCTTCACAAGTTCGACCCTTCTTAGATGCTGGGTTAAATTAGAATTTTTTAAGAAGAGATAACAACCGTCCCATTAATCTGCTCCCTGTCGTCAGTTTCTGCCGATTCTATGAAGCCTCGGACGTCGGGCCTATCACAGCCTTTCCTCTGAACCCCTTGAAATGACGGTCTTGGCATACCGTTTTTCTTTAAGCGATTTTCTAAAGTACGTGTTCTCTAATTCGACTTTTTATTATGCCTGTAGAGGTTAATTAAAAATTAATTCATGGCAAGACTTCATATAATTATAAATTATAGCTCCATTTTATTGGTATTTTACTGCTTGGTGGGTAATGGTTTTCGTTTAAAATTAATGTTAGCAATTTTGCCTTTTGAAAATTTCGTTTCCGTGCAAGTGTATATACAGTTAAGTACAATGCTTCTAAACATGCAATATACTTTGGCAATTTTGCAAGTAGCTGATATATGAATAAACTTCTGTAAAACTATGTTTATATAAATCTTACCTGACCTACATAGCTCAGAATATATATCCTTTTGGCAGCAGATGATCGCCGAGTAAATATATATCCACAGTAATAAGCCAAATATCCACCGGACACTACTGTAGAGCGCACTCGGTCGAAGATTTTAACGCGCGATCACAACACTAACTCACTTAACAAAATTCTAGCAGTCGCGTTGGAAAGGCACATTCAGCACTCCACTAATATCACACCACGTTCGGCACACCACGCACACAATTAACTCCAAACACTCCACATGATCAAGAAAATGATTATCTTAATGTCAACAAAATAAGGGCAACTCAGAAATTCCCGGATCCAACACAACGCGACGCGACCGCTTACTCGCCTCTTTAGACTCGGTTACCTGAGCGAGGTAAAAACAACCGGTGCCATCTTGTGATGTGCTCACGTCACGAGTCGTCCACCAATGGGAAACCATTAGGCGGTGGCTCAGGAATTCCTATACCTCCTATTACCCCTTCACCCTCCCACACACCGAAAGAAAACCAGCTTCGAACACCTCAGGCTTTTTTTTTTTTACTATTACATGCCTCAGAAAGACGATACATTGTACAGTCGCTGGCCAAATTGATAGTTTGCTTCTTCAGTTTTCATTATACTCTCCAGAATACTAGGTCTGTCCAGGCCACTGATTGCATGCCAGGCTATACTTGAAGCTATCACTAAGAATTAATTGTGGAAGCGGTTTATAGACACAGTTCATAAATCCCTTTCAATTATTGTTTTAAGATATACAATTACAGTACATATATTAAATTTTATTTTGATTGGTTCTTGCAGGTCAGACCATATATTACACCTAACATCTAAGGATATATTGGATGTGTTGATACAAATATAAATGTCTGCTTTTTTTTTGTGTTTTTGTTTTTTTGTTTTTTTGTTTTTGCTGTTTTCACAATTGAAATATTTTATATTTATTTTAATATTTGCCTGCTTTCAATGGATCTTGACACATTTTGTTGTACCAGACGTTAGCAACGTTGAAGGTTTTCTGTTGCAGAGAGTGCTATATGTCTTGTAATATTTCCACAGGATCATGTCTTATAAACAGTGCCTTTCACTTAATTTTGTCCTAACATCGTTCAGATTATAATCATGCTATGATATCAAGCACAGGCATCAATGGTTACTATCGGCCCTCAGTTGTCAGTTTCTAAATTACTATGTTCCAAAGAATCGTTGTGAAGCGAACCCCCATAATAAACACGCTCAGGAAGTTACACAAGGCGAGTAACCGCAAAGAACTTGTTGTAGTTACGTGTTTAAATTCAAGCTCCTTTTTCATCCGAGGAATTCTTAAGAATTAAAGTGAGAAGTAATACGCAAGGTGGAGTTTAGCATAAAGGAGAGGTGAATGATATTGTCATATGCTTTAGTGACTAATAAAGGGGCTCGGATTGGTAATTGGATTTATTGAATACTTACAGATCCTAACTACAATTTATTCTTACTCTATTGCTAAGTTAAAAAATTTACAGTCACTCCACACTAATCTTCTCAGTCTATATCCACTAGTCTTCAATATCCGCTTCCTGGTAATGGATTTATAACACAGGAACTATAAAAGCCTCACTAAATTACACACTCCGGATATCGATATACTACAGCATATGTAACGTCAAACACTAAGTCTTATAATTCTTCTTCTGGTCACACTGCTGTTCCCTTGGAACTTCGGAACTCTAGTGAAGTCCGTCTATTACTCACTTCTCAAACTTATCAATGCCCGCAAACGACCTTGTTGTCCCCTACAAATCTTCGGCAAGGACCTACAGAAACAACGTCACGTGGTCTGTATCCACTGTTGCGTCAGGTCACAGCCTACGCGTAAGTGTGCTTACCTAGAAACGGGTTGCATAACCCCGTTATTCTATTGTTGCATGCGTGTAATGCAGAGTATTTATCGAGCCGTTGCCTAGCAACATGAAAGGCATGCGAACTTCTAGAAGAATATCGACGTTATCAGCGACATTCATATTGTCCTGAAATGTTGTGTGGTAATGGAAATTCCAAATTTTACGTGCCATGCGTTTGTAGAATGTAAGATGAGGTTGTAGTCAAACGAAATTTATATTCAATCTTCCATTTAACAGCGACAAATAATTGGCCACCGATGTTGTTTCTTAGGACTATACGTAAATTTTTGGTCTTAATTTGTTAAATGTCCGTAATGTCGGTTACCAGAATTCTTGGTTTGTCCGAAATAGGAGGAGAGGAGACTTTGAGGAGCTGTATGGGCAAATTTCTGTGCATTGATAAAATTTTCGTATATCAATTATCAGACAAGGATATATATTTTTAAATGAAGGGAGAGTATGAGCGTAACTTAGAATTTTATAATAAATATTTCTTTATTATATCCATAAATGACAAACATGGCGACAGTGCTAAAGACTGAGGTTAAAACCTGTGTCACAAATTAATTTCTTGGGAATATATCCAGTGAAAGCTATAGACAAACGTACATGTACTCTCTGTAACATGTATCATGCGGATTGTAGCTGGAAATTCATAGTTTCTGCCAGCCAGTATGAATACATAGACATACTTGAAGGTGCTGGTTGATTAAAATGTTTAAATTAAACCTATAGTAAAGCCCATATAGGTAGAAATTTGTCTGGCACGTTTCGTATCCAGAATGGTCTGAAACAAACAGAAACATCTTCGTGATTGATTTTCAACTTTTGCTTTAGAATGACCGACTAGGAAGGTCTTGGAAAACATGATGGAATCAAAATACGTAGAATGACACAGATCAGCATCTTGTGTACGCTGGTGGTACTAATTTACTGGGGAGCAACATAAATATCGTTAACACAAAGCACTGTGATAGGTGATAATAAGAAGGTTGGTCTAGTAGTAAACAGAGAAAACGATATATGGGCTCATGTCTGGTCACTAGAATGCAGGGCAAGATCATGAAATGAAGATAGTTAATAAATATTTTGAAAATGTGGAAAATTTCACGTTTTTAATGACACTAAAAGCTCGAAATATCATAAATAAATAAATAGAAAATTAAATTTGAAGAAGGTTTAATATTATTCACTTCAGAAATATTTACTTTCTCACCCATAAAATATGTTAAAGTCAAGATGTAAGAAACTGTATTTTTGTCTGTAGTTCTGTATAGATGTGAAACTTGGCCTCCCACAGTAAGGGAAGAACAAAGACTCAGGGTGGTACTCATAGAGAACTGAACATATATTCAGAGTTCATATGGACGAAGTGATTGGTAGCTGGATAAATTTTCTTAATGAAGATTTTCATAATTAGTGCTCTTAGCAAATTATTGATAGAATGATCAAATCAAGAATAGTTATATGGGCAGAACATTTATCACGCAAAGGAACAAAGAGACCTGCATACAAAATTTTGGCAGTGAACCGTGAAGGCTAGTCGCCACTCGGAATACGTGGACTTGGACTGGGCAATATTAAAATGTAGCTTAAAAGAGAGGATCATTTATATAGACTGGATTCATCTGAGCCGGTCACGGTAGCCGAGCGGTCTAAAGTATGTACTGTCTTCGCTCGCTCGTAAGCCGGGCTCATGGATTCGAATCCCACACAAGACATGGATGTTTGGTGTGTGTATGCGTTTATTGTGTGTTTGTGTTGTCTTGTGTTTAGGCAGAGACCTTGCGACGAGCTGATCACTCGTTCATGTAGTCCTACCATCTGTAAAATGACCAAAATGAAGAAGGAAAAAAAACCTCGACACCGTAACATATAAGAGGAACGGTTAAGTAAGTAACTAAAGGATTCACCTGGCTGAAGACAGAAACCAGTATTGGAATTAGCTGTGCAATTCTTTAGTTCCTGAACAACCACTAGATTCTCAAGAAGTACTCAACTTTATGGAGTTAGTTGATTAGTTAGTAAGTTAGTTAGTTAATTAATACGTTAACGCTATATCGGTCATCTATGTAACCGAATCCTATCGTTAGGCGAGATAAAAAAAATCATGTTAATATAGGACTTAAAATTTTTACAGCGGTGGTTACGAATAGTTCTATCTTAAGAGATATAATGCCGTGCAGTCTGTTGAAAGTAGGCCGACGTTTCGGAGGAGCGTGTCACCTCAATCTTCAGGGCTGAAGAGTAAATATCAGCAATTCCGCCATAGGCAGATAGGTCAGCATCAGGTAGCCATTCTTGATGTACACATTTTGCAGCTTTGTCATCACTCGGATGGTGACCAGGAAGTTCCTTCCTCAATGAATGAAACAGGTGGAACCTTAATGGCACAAGGACAGGATCACACATCCGTTGCTGCAGTATAATCCACTTCAATCTTGCAATATCATCCTTGTTTATTATGAACTTCCTTTCCTTTCTATGTGAATTCTTTAAACCCAGACACACGAGTTTCCAAACTGCGCTTGATTTCTTCATAAATATTACCAGGTTTAAATTGCATTACCATGGTGTAATGTAGACTATTCGGTATAGGATAAAATGTTTTATACCAGATCGAAAATTTGTATGATACTTTGAATCGCTTCATATAGAAGGTGTTTTTTTACTTACGGACAATCTGAAAATTATATCATATATATTTTTTCTTCCCTTGGTACTACAGCCCCAGTGGGCCTAGGCCTACTTCCACGAACTCCGTTAACTTCGGTTTTTCTAGATCTTACACATACGGTAGGACTCTTTGGGCGAGTGATCAGTTCATCGCAAGGCCTCTACCTGTAGACAAACACAGAAAAACGCACACAAACATTCATGCCCTGAGTGGGATTCGAACCCACGATCCCGGCTTCCGAGCGAGCGAACACAGTGCATGCGTTAGACCGCTCAGCTACCGTGACCGGCAGATATCATATATAGCCATGTTAATATCTGGAAGCAAAATACTGGAAACATAAATAACACTTGTCAGATTCAAAAATGAGATTTCTATATACGTGGAAAATTTTCAGCGCTTTAAAATCTTGATTTATTTTAAGTTAAACAGTTATAATTCAGCATTTTCCGAGCCTTCGTTACCATCGCATAGCTCTGAATACGAAATATAGTAGTCAGTAACCACAATATGTGGTAAGTTGTGTCTGAAGGTGTCGCAATATTCTCGATTGTAATGCCATGCTGAGCTGAATTCCACTTGCCAGTTGCTTGGCTTATTCTTGGACCTTGAACATAGAGGCCAATAACATTTTCCGCGATATCCATCTTTCCCCGAAATACACAACATTACAACACAGAAGAATGTGTCCTTCAAGAGTCATAATGCTTTATGGCAGAATTCTTTCAGAAGTTTTCATATGTTGGAGTGATTAAACAGGTAAAGGTAATGTAAAGGTATCCCTGTAACAGGC